CGGATGGTAATGACTGTATGCTGTGTCTCCCAGCCCGCCCCATCCACTACCACGAGTCCGCCTACGCCCGCAGGCCCACTGTTGCCGAGGAGTGGATCGTGCCCGCCAAGTTTGTCGGGGAGGACCAGTCGTCGGGCAAGGCGTCTCGCGCCGGGGGTGAGCTGATGCGCCGCATCAAGGGCCGCGCAGAGCTCGAGAAGGCGCGATCGGTCACGTTTTGGTGGCACCAGTCAAACAAGAAGCACCTCTGGGCGTATCCTCTCGAGGTTGTCGACAGGGGTGATGTGTCCTCGTTCTGGGCCGTCCTCGGGCGCGAGTGTCCAGAGGCTGTGCCGGTGGACGACGATGCCAATGACGACAACAGCTGCGTGAAGGGCAATGCGACAAGCTTGGTTCAGTTTCTGGCATCAACAGATTGCGGCGCCACCATCGACCAAGCGGTGGCCATGGGCCGCAAGCATGTACGGGGTCCGCAAGCGGGTTCATGACACGGTGGCTGTCTTGGGCATGCCCGCCAGCTACGAGTGGCTGAACGCGGTCATTGCCACGGCCATCCCGTCGAACAAGAACGACACACCGTTCAAGCGGCTGGCATTTATCGGTGACACGGTGCTCACCCTTATGGGTCGGATGCAGCTGTTCTCACTCGAGGACAGCGCCATGGACGTGGGTCCGATGATGAGCGCCATGCAGGACCTGGAGTCACGGGAAGCGTGTCAACAGTATCTCAAGGCCACTGGCATGGATGATGTTGTGCTTTCGGACTCTTACGATATACAAGCCGAGGCCATCTTGTGTGCCATCTACCTGCTGTATGGCCTCGACGACACCGAGCGCATCTGGCGTATGTTCGTATCGGCAGTGCGGTAGACGATGCGGCGCCGAGCGGCTCAAGCACTTCAGCGCCGAGATGTGGCAAGCAGGAGAGGCAGCAGACCGTGTCGACTCGTTTGATGGAATCCGTGGCAGCCTGGCAGGGAGCCGAGCTCGAAGTTCCAGACTCTGATGTCAGCCGGCACCATCGGAGAGGTGATCAACTGCTGCACCCAGCCTTACCCCGGCTCGATCGACCGCTCCCGTTCTTCTCAGCCAACTGCGACCCCCCTCCGACCCGATCTACAGCCGACCAAGTCGCACGGGGCTGTTGGGCTCGGTGCAGTGGCTACGCGCTTGCGAGTCAGCGCGGTGACCAAATCGAGGCGATCCGGGCCGAGCAGCTGCCGCCAAGGCGAGCCTCGACGAGGACGCAGCGATCGGCAGACGCGGATGAGATGGACGAGGCCACGGCGGGTGTGGTGTTGTGACAGAAGCGTCGATGTGCCCGGGTGGTTAGCGCGCATGATCGGAGAATGAGCCCGTTGCTGAGTTTGACGGCGCTGTTGACGACGAGCGTGAGCGCCGCGGGCGCAGCTGATGAGGTTGTCGCGGGCGATGTGGCGGCTGATGACGACTTTGGTGAGTGAAGCCGATGGCGACGACGTCAGAGTTGGTCTTCTGCGAGGCACGGCGGACGGATGGACACGATTGTCGGCAAGGGGGAGAGCGACGATGCTG